CTCTCTTGCTTTTTCGATGATCCAGCAGATATTGGCAATTTGATTTCTGGTTCCTCTGCCTTTTCTAAAACCAGCTTGAACATCTGGAAGTTCATGACTCATGTATTGCTGAAGCCTGGCTTGGAGACTTTTGAGCATTACTTTACTAGCGTGTGAGATGAGTGCAACTGTTCAGTGGTTTGAGCATTCTTTGGCATTGCCTTTCTTTGGGATTGGAATGAAAACTGACCTTTCCCAGTCCTGTGGCCACTGCTGAGTTTTCCAAATTTGCTGGCATATTGAGTGCAGCACTTTCACAGCATCGTCTTTCAGGATTTGAAATAGCTTAACTGGAATGCCATCACCTCCACTAGCTTTGTTCATTGTGATGCTTTCTAAGGCCCATTTGACTTCATAATCCAGGATGTCTGGCTCTAGGTGAGTGATCACACCATCATGATTATCTGGGTCGTGAAGATCTTTTTTGTAGTGTTCTTCTGTGTATTCTTGCCACCTCTTCTTAATATCTTCTGCTTCTGTTAGGTCCATACCATTTCTGTCCTTTATTGAGCCCATCTTTGCATGAAATGTTTCCTTGATATCTCTAATTTTCTAATTAGAAAATTATGCTAATCAGGAGGGATTAAATATTGTGGATATCCTAGTACTGTATTTTTCAGATCATCCCCCCAACACCCCAGGAAATGGACTCTGAGAAACAGTTCCCCCAGGGGAGAACCACTTAGGATTCTCCATCAGCCTAGGCGAACAGGCTGCACAGCACCCACAAGGAGGGTGCCGGCTGAGGGACAGAAAGATTCATTAACAAGGGACACTTTCCAGGAGTACTCTGAATACAACATGCAGACAAGCACTAAATTAAGCGCTCGGGACAGAAGAAGTTTATTTAAAGCCATTCACTGAATGAGCCAAAAACCATTGCCCAAGAGGCTTGGGATAAAGCCAACGAAAGCAGGGAGCAAAGCCCACAGAAACATATGAAGCCCTGACATACATTTGCTTCAAAATTGGTAGCTTACCAACCATTTGAAGTTGGTCCTCCCTGTCCTGCTTCCTACTAAAAGGAGACCAAAAGGAGAGAATATACGACCCCCCAAGTGCAGGTTAAGAGGAATGAGGAACTCCCAGTGGCTCGGAACATAACCTTGGTTCAGCCAATTTCTTTACGTGGCAAAGAGATCAGCGGCTGCCATAGAAGTGCGGCCACAGGGAAGAGGACCAGGTGTTACTGAGCTGAACTCCTCAAGCATTCATGCCACAAGCCACCCGATGCCTGGGCAACGGGGACCACAGGGGCAGGTGGGGCTCTGTGCCCTCTAGAATCCTGCCAGTGGGGAGGGGTGGGAAGTGGTGCAACTGGAGATGTAAGCCAATAACTAAGATCTGAAATGTGGAAAAATGACGTGGGGCCCTACAGTGATGGACTGGATGGTCTTGTCTTGCTCTGGCCGAGCCAGAGCGTGCAGATTGACAAAACTTTGAGGCAGAGTGGGAGAAAAGAATGGTTGGCCAAGCTTAAGAGGAGATAAGAGGGAGAAAAGAGGAGATAAGGGATAAGGGATAAGAAGATAAGGAGAGAAAGAGCAGGAGTGAAACAGCTGCTACAGGAAAAAGGATCTTGGAGAAAGAATATTTTAAAGAGGATTTTTATGAATTTTGTGTGATTTGCAAGGGCTTCCCAGGTGGTTCAGTGGTAAAGAATCTGCCTGCCAATGGAAGAGATGTGGATTTGATCCCTGGGTTGGGAAGATATCCTGGAGAAGGAAATGGCAACCCACTCCAGTATTCTTGTCTGCAAACTTCCGTGGACAGAGGAGCCTGGTGAGCTACATAAGTTTCCATCGAGTCGGTGAAGCCATCCAACCATCTCATCCTCTGTTGCCTGCTTCTCCTTCTTCCTCATTCTTTCCCAGCATCAGAGTCTTTTCCAACTAGCTGGCTCTTTACATCAGGTGGCCAAAGTATTGGAGCTTTAGCATCAGTCCTTTCAATGAATATTCAGGGTTGATTTCCTTTAGAATTGACTGGTTTGATCTCCTTGTTGTCCAACGGACTCTCAAGAGTCTTCTCCAGCACAATTCAAAAGCATCAATTCTTCACTGCTCAGTGTGTTTTTAACCCCCACTTAACAAGGCAGAGACTGGGACCCAGTGAGATTAAATCACTTGCCCAAGGCCACTCAGCCAGAAATCAGCAAATTTCATCTGAGAATTCTATCTGAGGTTTGTCCGAGCCCCTTGTTTCCCCTACTGCTCTCTGGAAACTTCTCAAATGTTTGCCAAACAAATGAGTGTAGAGGAGGAAAAAAATGTATTCTGCAGTCTCCGTGGTCAAATGAGGTTAATGGGCAGAAGCTAAATGGAAACTGACTTTGACTCATATGAGAAATTTTTATACCAATTAAAATGACCAAATGAGCCTTTTAGGATGGTAATGAGCTCCCGGGCATTAGAAGAGCTGGGATATTGACTGAACACCTGCTGGGATGCTGCCAGATGGAATTCCAGCAGTTGGCTGGGCTGAGGGGTCCTACAGTACTGGAAGGTTTTGTTTTAGGTCCTTTGCCACCCTTGGATTCTGGGACTCTGGGACTCTAGCAAAAGCTGTTTTCACATCTATTCAGAGCCGGCCATTCACTGGACTATAATGCCTCTTTGATCTAACTGATGACCCAAATCGCTCTGAGCAGCTCTTAGCGGGTGGCCTGGCCTGTGTGCAGGGTATCCAGTTCAGAGAGCAGCAGACCACATCGTGGGTACAGCCCGGCGCCCCCCAAGGTCAGGATGAAGGAGCCCTGGGGCTGGTAGGGCCCCAGCCTGCCCCCACGACCTCACCAGGGAGCCGCGAGGAATAGAATGAGGAGGAGAAGAAAGAGAAGAGAAAGCGGGATAGGGATGGGCTGGGAGCCTTTTTTAATGTTTTCCAGCAACTGATTCTGATTACCTGCCACCCTCACCCCCGAAGAGAGAAGCTCATTGTATGTGCTGACTTGGGGGCTCGGGTGACAACACTGATGCCCAATTAGCGCCAGTCCAATGAGACAGGTCAACTCCCGGCTCCAGGGTCCGCAAAGCAGGAGGCACCTGCCATCCAGGCGGAGGAGCCCCAAGCGTTACTGTCCTGCGGGCTTTGGATGCCCGGGGCCACTGGGTCCAGGGACAGCACTTCCTCTTGGCCACACGCAGAGCTCAGCGCAATGGGTCTGAGCCTGGATCAGGGATCGCCTTTGTGGGAGCAGGTAGGGTCCTCCCCCACGTCCTCCCGTGCCAGCTGAGCCTCGTGCGGCTCCACGAAGCACCTTCACCGTCGGCCTCCGGTGCCCTGGCCTCCAGCCCCCCTCTCCCCTCCAGGGTCCTTGACCCAATGCCAGAGGAAGGCGGTAGACGCTGTCGTGGCTCTTGTCTTAGGAAGCCTCCCCTTCCTGCAAGATGCACGTGGACGGAGGCTTCCAGGATGGCTGTTTGAAAGAGGATACTGAGGTCTGAGGTCCCCTGAAAATTCACACGTTGACACTTCACCTTCAAGGTGGTGGGGTGAGGAGGTAGGGCCTTCGGAAGGTGAGAGGGTATGAGGGCTTCCCAGGTGGCGGTCGTTGTAAAGAATCCATGCCGGCCAACACAAGAGATGTGGGTTTGATCCCTGGGTTGGAAGATCCCCTGGAGAAGGAAATGGCAACCCACTCCAGTGTTCTTGCCTGGAGAATCCCGTGGACAGAGGAGCCTGGTGGACTACAGTCCATGGGGTCGAAAAGAGTTGGCCGTGACTGAGCACGCACACACATACACACACATACACACACGCACACACACACAGGTCATGAGGCTGGAGCCCTCGCAGGTGAGATTAGCTCCTCATCAGAGACTCCAGAGAGCTCCCATCCCCCTCCACCTCACGCGGACAGTCAGAGGACGCCACCCAAGAACCAGCAGGAGGGTGCTCAGCAGACCCCAGATATGCTGGGACTGTGAACTTCCAGAACCGTGAGAAATAAATGTCTGCTGTTTATAACCCTTCACACGCACCCTGCCAGTCAACAGAAATCTGCTACATTAGCCGGAATGGATGAAGACACGTAACGTGCTGACCGATCTATCCTGAGCATTGCTCATGGGCAGGCCTGGGGCTTACTCTAGAAGCCTGTCCACAACCACTGAAACATCGAACATTTCCTTCCGCTCATTGAGCCAAAGATCTCTGCACTAGAATCAGCCTTCCCTGTCACCCTGATCCGAGCGCTGGGACAGACGGGAAGAGCCCTGGAGGGAAGTAGACACCCCAGTCTCCAGAGATTGAGAGCCCGTCAACCCTCTGTCTTACAGTCACAGGGGTGTAGCTGCTCTGGGAACGAGGGAGTGAGTATGAGTCGCTCGGTCGTCTCTGACTCTTTTCAAGCCCATGGACTGTAGCCCGCCAGGCTCCTCTGTCTGTGGAATTCTCCAGGCCAGAATACTGGAGTGGGTAGCTGTTCCCTCCTCCAGGATATCTTCCCCACCCAGGGATCAAACCCACGACTCCTGCATTGCAGGTGGATTCTTTACCAGCTGAGCTACCAGTCATTCCCTGCCTGGTTGCGCGGGGGGCGGGGGGCAGGGCTGTATAGAAATCTTGACGGAAGTCACTTCCAGGCACAGTTTTCCCGTAAAAAGGGGAGAGGTGGCCCAAGGTCACCGGCAGGCCCCCACGGTCAAAGTGAGGGTCCTTGTGGCCTTTGCTGCCCTCGGGCTGGCGGGGCTCCTGGCTGCGGCGCCCACAGAGCCCCTGAGGCCTCGGAAACTTCGAGGCCTCGGGGATGACGGCTGGTTCATCTCTCAGGAGGAGGTCAGGTCGATGCTGAAGTCAGCGGAGGTTAAGCCCATGGACGCGGCAGGCCTGGGAACCAGGGCCCACCGACAACATTTGAAATGCTATAGAGCTCAGGCCCTGAGGGCTTGCGGGGTGTGTTCCTAGCAAAATGTCTGTTCCTTTTGCTTCTTCCAAGCAGATGTGGTCTTGTGAACCACTCACAAGCCTTTCGGGTTAGATTCCTCGACAATACAACCGGCGCTCCGGGCAGCAGCGGAGGGGCTGGCACTAACCGAGGTCCTTTCGATGCGGATGGAGCCCGAGCCCCGGCAGCCTCTCGGCGGCCCCGAGTAGCCTCGTGGCTTCGCTCCTCCCGACCCCGCGGCCCCGGGTCCGCTTTCCCCCGTGTCGGGCGTTTGGCTTGGACGAGGGCCGGGTCCCAGGCCTCGCTCCCCTGTTGCTGTTGGTGTCCAGCCCCAGGGCTGCTCTCTGGCCGACAGCGGCCTGGGTGCGGGGCTTCGGGGCACCAGCCACACGCGGGCGCGCTGCCTGTGAGGCGAGGGCAGGAGCCGGGAACCTCCGCCCCGCGGCCCGCCCCAGCCTCCTCCCTGAGGACGCAGACTCAGAGGGCGCCCCGAGGCCGCGCCCTGCTCCCGGGGGCCGAGCTGGCGATACCCTCCCGGCTTCTCCTCTGCACCCCAGGCCGGCCCCACAGCCCACGGGCCCTTTGGGAGCCTCTGCGGAGAAGAGCCCGTTCCCACACACTCGGGGCCGAGGGCACGGACACCCACGTCCAAGTCGGTTCCAGGCATTAGCAGCTCGAAGGAGTCTTCATCCTAAAAGACTTTATTTGGTGTCCAAGACAAAAACAGTATTATTCACGTATGGCTTTAAGGAAAAGAATGTCTCTTTTTAAAATACAGTTGTTTGAGTTCCGTGACCTGCTATGCATAGTGTTGAGGCACTTTTTAAAAATACTCCACTCGCTGCGACCTCCCCAGGAAGACTTGTGGACAGGCTCCCAGTGATGTGTAAGCTGTCGGTCTCTATTTCAACAGTCACAGCTGCAAGGCTCAGAAACCACCCCCTCTCCCGGTGTTTGCCTTACTGAACTCTTGCTTCACATACGGAGAAATTTTCTCAGAGCAGTGTGGCTTTAGGTTAAAAGGACAAAATAAACCAAGTGAAAATCGAGTACTTCCTTTCAGGAACCTGATAGCTCAGGCCACAAACGATCTTCAGAGCAGGTTGAAGCAGTGATGGTGAGTGTGTGTGTGAGTGCGCGCTTAGTCGCTCAGTCATGTTAGACTCTTTTCGACACCATGGACTGTAGCCCCCACAGGATCCTCTGTCTGTGGGATTTTCCAGGCAGGAATACTGGAGTGGGTTGCCATTTCCTTTTCCAGGGGATCTTCCTGACCCAGGGGTCGAAGCCACATCTCCTGCATTGCAGGCGGATTCTTTACTCACTGAGCCTCAGGGAAACCCACTGATAACCATGTGACCCAAAAGGTTCACAGCCGTCCTGAGCAGAGCAGGCCCCTTGGACACATCCCTGTAGAAGCGAGGACTTTGCTCTGCTCTTCTCCTCCCTGCTGCCTCCCCTGGGCTGGGCCTTCTCAGACCCGGGTCTGGACCCCACTCAACTCGCGCAGAGCCCGGCAGCCCCTGTTTCTGCATGCCCCAGCCAGGCCTCCCTCAGCTCCATAATTCTCCTTCTCATCCAGCAAGGTGTGCCTCTCTCTGTGCGGCTGACTGTGGCTACATTTAGGGAGGCAGTGAATCTGCTCTGTGCCTGCCTTTGGGTCTTTGCTCAGGCCGGCATTGCACAGCGCTGACCAGTGACCTCCCCGAGACATCCACATCCTCTTTCCTGAAACCTGTGACTACCTCCTTAGGTGACAAAAGGCACTTCGCGGATGTGACCACATTAAGGACCTTTTGATGGAGAGATTATCTTGGCTTACCTGGTGGCCCTAAATAATACTAAGTGCCTCCCTAAGAGGAACGCAGAAGGCTATCAGACTCCGGAAGAGAAGGAGGCGATGATCGCAGGGTGTGGGAGGGGGGATGTGGCCTGGAGCTCGGGGCAGAGCTGGACGAAGTGAGGATATGGCTGCCCCAGGGGCTCAGGAGAGCCGGGCCCGTTCACACTGTGCATACAGCCCTGGGAAACCGGTTCTGCACTTCTGGCCTCCAGAACTGTAAGGGAATCAGCTTTGGTTGCTATAAGCCCCTGGATTTATGGAGATGTGTCACAGCAGCCGCAAGATACAAGCACAGGTGTGTTATATGATAGTGTCCCAGGTGGAGCTAGTGGCAAAGAACCTGCCTGCCAATGCAGGAGACTCATGAGAGGAGGGTTCAATCCCTAAGACAGGAAGATCTCCTGGAGAAGGGATAGGCTTACCCACTCCAGTATTCTTGGGCTTCCCTGCTGGCTCAGACTGTTAAGAATCCGCCACAATTCGGGAGAACTGGGTTTGATCCCTGGGTTGGGAAGATCCCCTAGAGAAGGGAAATGCTACTCACTCCAGTATTCTGGCCTGGAGAATTTCATGGATAGAACAGCCTGGTGGGCTCCAGTCCATGGGGTCACAGAGAGTCGGGCAATATGACTGAAGTGACTTAGCACACACTGTGATAGTCCAAGCGATGTGAAAGTCGCTCAGTCGTGTGTCTGACTCTTTGCAACCCCATGAACTATACAGACCATGGAATTCTCCAGGCCAGAATACTGGAGTGGGTAGCATTTCCCTTCTCCAGGGGATATTCCCAACCTGGGGATTGAACCCAGGTCTCCTGCATTGCAGGTGGATTATTTACCGGCTGAGCCACAAAGCAAGTCCCTAATAGGCACTTATTTTGGTGCCTCCTGGAGACTCCTTGTTCAAAGCTCTGCACACACCTCCTATTCTCTGTAGTCTCCAGGCCCGCGATGGCAGTAAGCTACCCAGGGTCTTTTGGTACAAAGTGTTGTCTGTTTCAATGTCACATGACATGCCATGCGAGGAACAAATGCTGGATGCTTACTCAACCCTCTTGTGAAGGAAGGCTTTCACAGGACCTGAACCTGTGACACTCTGTACCCAGTTACCTTATTTCCTCCGTTATGAAAGCAACACCCAGTAAGCTCAGTGTGACAGCAAGGCCTTGATAGTCTCCTCTCCCAGAAATGCAGCTTTTGTTTCTGTAGAGGCACGTCCTTGGAGTGGGGACTCCCCTGCTGATTGCGGAGTATTCTGCAGAATGAAGGGCAGTTTTGTGAGGGGTGTCCTGACCAAACTGACCCTGCCTCAGCTCACTGGCATAAGGCTGGTCCTCAGGCTCCTCAAAGGACTGCAGTGAGACCACTCTGAAAGACCAGTCAGTTTGTAAAGGCATGACACTGGGTTGTTTTTCTGCACCAACATTTGGCACAGCAACCTAGCTGATCATCAGAATCACACAGGGAAGCTTTTTAAAAAAGTCAGGGGAGGGTTCCGGTGTTGCCCTTAGAGTGTCTGACTTAGATGTTTGGGATGGAGCCTGAACATTTGTTGTCTTGGAGAGTCTTGGGCTCGGCCAGCTTGGAAAAGCACTGCTGTGAGCTTGCCAATATTCCTTCTTCTGAGAGCATTGCCTCACTCTGTTTATAGCTAAGTGTGCACCTGCAGCTTCCCCGGGTCAGGTAATATTTAAGAAACCGTTTAGTCACTGCAGGACACCCTGCCCTTCCAGCACTCAGGAGATGGGTGTTGAATCACGCCCTCCTTCAAATATGACCACCTCCAGAGGCAGGGTCCCACGATGAGAGCCAGAACTGGTGATGGCCAGGCAGGGAAACCCTTCACGCTCAGCGAAGCTCTCTCTTCTGTAGTTTGTCTAGCTCATTCAGCCAAGACGTTTATTGAGCACCTGTTATGTGCCAGAGGGCTTCCGTGGTGGATAATGCAATGCAGGAGACCCGGGTTCAATCCCTGGTTGGGAAAGATCTCCCAGAGGAGGGCATGTCTACCCACTCCAGTATTCTTGCCTAGGAAATCCCATGAACAGTGGAGCCTGGCCGGCTACAACCCATGGGGTCATGAAGAGTCAGACATGACTGAGCAACTAACACTTTCACTTAAGTGCCAGGAACTAGTAATATAAAAGTGAAGGAAACACACACAAATCCCCGCCCTTTAGTCCACATCCGATCATCCCATCCAGTCACTCACCAGACTGAAAGTCCCCCATGGTGTCTGATTTCTCCTTTCAAGGATGAGGAACCCCAAGCCATCTTTTTATTCTTTGACCATCTTCCAGCCCAGCCCTGACCCCAATCCACCCATCAAACTTATGGCTTTTGCCCGTGTCCCCCCAACAAGTTCCCCTTCTTCCTTAGTGAACAAGTAGAGATTTGTTCTTCTGCTCTCCACAGAGGATTTCTAGGGCAGTGAAACTCCCCCGTGTGATGCTGTAATAGTGGATGTGTGTCTTTGTGCATTCGTCAAAGCCCATAAAGTAGACGCCAGTGTGAACTGTGGACTTTGGTTATGAGGATGGTGGGGGGATGTTGATAGTGGCAGAGACTATGCTTTTGTGGGAACGCTCTGTCCTTTCTGCTCAGTTTTGCTGTGAACCTAAAACTGCTCCAAGAAATAAAGTTTTTTTTTTTTTTGATAGCATGACTTAGTGCAGAGCTTGCATGATTCAGTTCAGTGCAGACCAACTCCAGCAGCCCACGATAACCCATGTTACCCCAGCCAGCACTTGAACTTTTTCTAGAGGCAATGCATATTTTAAAGCAGAAAAATGATGAGATCGTTAGCGAGATTTAGGAAGATGGCTGAATGGGAATTAGTTGAGCCAGCAAGGAGTCAGGGGGCCCATCGGAACCGTGTGGGGAGGGCCTCTTCCACCTCACGGCTCGCAGGCCATCCACTCTAGAAATCTGCATGAACAGCAGAATTCCCTCAAGGCCCAGGGAGAATCCCGATCTACCTCCTCTCACCCCGGAATTTTGCTGTAACAGGTTCAGGCATCCTCTGTTTGAGGGTGGAGGAAGCACCTTGGCAGTGCTGGGTTCTACCTGTGACTTAGGGATCTCGGTCAGGAAGCCTTCCAGGTAGAGCCGACATGCGTGCAAAGCACCCGTGTGTGCCTGGTAGAGACTTGGCTACCCTCCTTAAGAATGGGTCAGGCTACAGCAGGCACCCAGGAAGGGCTTTGGTTTTCATGGTCTTCCTCTAAGGCACTCTCCTGTTTGCCTGCTCAGATGTCTGTCATCACCGTTTTTCATTTACTGTTTTAGTTTTTCTAAAACACTTTTCTTTTTTTAGGCCTCACCCAGTCTTCTCTTATTGATTCCCTTTATTTCCTCCAAGGACTCAGAAACCTTAATGTCAATTTCAATTTCCAAACCTTGGAGCAATTGAGAAAAGTGCTTCCTCTGGATCAATACTTCCTCCTGACTTGACATGGAGATATTAACAACTGTTTGGTGTACGATTTCACTGGGGGGAAAAAAAAAAACCAGAAGCCAATAGAACTGTAATCCATGGGTATAAAACACACTGGTTTTATGGAGAGGCTCCAAAAGCTCAAAGAAGAAAGATACTCTAGTTCGCTTCCCTTTCTTGGTCCACTAAGCTTGTCACCATGTCCAGAAACTAGCTCCGTTTGGCAGCAGTCCCTTCATGATTGTTCTGCCAACTGTGCGTGGACATTTCTTTCCCTCCCCATAATTTCAAATAGACTACTTTGCCAGCCATGTGAGTGATTTGCTCAGCAATTATAAGTTATTTACAGTTGCTAATTGACTTACTGGGGTCTCTTCTTGAAAAGTGAAATTGTTAGTCACTCTGTCGTATCCAACTCTTTATGACACCATGGACTGTAGCCCACCAGGCTCCTCTGTCCATGGCATTTTCCAGGCAAGAACACTGGAGTGGGTTGCCATGCCCTCCTCCAGGGGATCTTCCCAACTCAGGGATGGAACCCAGGTCTCCTGCATTGCAGGCTGATTCTTTACCGTCTGAGCTACCAGGGAGGCCCTAGGGTCCTTTGTTAGTGAACCAGAAAGGACTCGAGTGTTTCCACTGGTATGAAGTTCAGCTATTCCTCTGGGGGTGCCTGCAGTTATTCCTTCTGCAGTGCCCCTGCCTGTCTCCCCAGAACTCCCCTCCTGGTTTTGGGGGCACCCACACTTCCCTCCCAGGCAAAGCAGAGGACAAAGCTTGCCCGCTCACCTGCCTCTCTGCCCAGCGCCCCTTCTCTATACCACCACCTGCGAAATTGAGGAAGATTATCCTGAAGTATTTAGAACAGCTCAAGGGAATGACCCAGTCAGAGTAGGAGGTTTTTAACAGCACAAGGTGGCATCCCCTCCACAGGTCCAGAGGGAAGAGAAACCAGGCAGGTGAGGACCGTCACACCCCTTCTCTCCTGGCTCACAGAGCCAGTCCTCAGCCCAGGGGTACCTGGCCCCCTGCTGAGTTTGCCTTCAGAATGTGCCTGAGGGTGTTAGATCAGGCAGGCTGCCATGGCCCCCCACAGGGGCCCCTCTAGTCTCCTCATCCTTCCCTCCCAGACATCAAGCTGGTGCCCGCTGGGACAACACACACACACACACACGGACACATGCACATGCACGCACACACACACGCACCCAAGTTCAGCCTCAGTGAAGAGCCAGAGTCAAAACCAAGCATAGAAACACAAGCATTTTCCCATGAACCCCACAGTTTGCAAGGTCGTGATGCCATTGAGAGGGTGTAATTGCATCTTGTCCTAATGTGCTTCACTCACCGTCACTCCCGCCCCAAACCTTTCAGATGATGCTTCCTTGGACTGGAGAAATGAGCCCATTTCTTACAAGGACGGAGGGGCTGGGCCATGCTCTTCAGCTGGGCAGGAGGGGAGTGAGGTGGGAAACTGAAAGGAAGTGTGATTCGTTCCTGCACTTCTGCAAGGAGCAGGGTCTGCATTTTAAAAGGAAACTTCCAAGCCGGGGAGGGGGTCAGGGAGGACCTCATTCCCGCCCCCTGACCTTCCCGGCCCCTCCTCTCAGGAACACCGAGTGCTCCGCAAGCACATTGGCTCAAAGGCTCCGCCGGCGCGTGTGCAAGCACTTGGCACCTGGCCGGGAGAGGGTCCGTTCCCTGCTGATCTGTCACTTACACTCTCAGCGCCTCTGTGAATTTTCTTTCCCTGCAATAGCACCATTCACCTAACACTTTCAACTTCTGCACAAGCTATTAATATTTTTAAGGAAATACTATTGTAAGTATGATAGATAAATAGACAGATGATAGACAGATAGAGATGATGGGTGGTTGGACATGGTCCTATGGACCAACGAATGGTTAAGATAATACTTTCTCTCTCCAAACCTAACACATTCCAGCTATTTCCTTGGAGCAGGCGCCTCAGCCTTCTGGCGGCTTATTAGTTGAAAAGGGGCCTCCCATGTGAATCTTCAGACTCAGCTGAAGAAGAGCCTTCGTCAAGCTGGGGAGGAGACGGCTGCACTGACAACTTCATCAGGCGGCTCAGGCCTCCGCGTCCCCAGGAAACTGTGCGTCAGAATTTGGTTCAAGCCCACGCAGACCCTGAGAAGTAGCAGCAGGAACAGCTGTCTTCTGAGGCCCTTGCTGGCCGGTCTGTGTCTTGAAAATTTTAAGGAAAGGCTTCACAACCCCGGTGTCCTTGATCAAGTATATTGTAGCAGCAATCAGAAACTCGTTGCACCGCTGGCCTCTTCACCCACCACCATGAACTTTCCAAGTCACCATGGGACGCTTCCTGTCCTCCGTGAGCCCCTCCCCGAAGGGTCACCCTGTGGGAAGTTTCCAGTTCTAGGAAGCTTTGGAAAACAGAGTCACAGAGATGGATCCAAGTAAAAGGCGTGACCAAGACACAGATGTCTGGTGCTGTTTCCAGCAGATCCTGCTCACCAGCTAACCCTGGACCCCCGCAGATGCGCTGAGTCATCACTTCCTCGGTCCAAAGAGCCTTCCAGAGATCATCGTGGTACAGCCTCTGTGTTCGGAAGTAAATTATAGTTTCTTGAGAATCTTTAAGCAGGAAAATCATCACGGAGCCAAAGCAAAATAATATATCAAAGGCCCCAAAGATTCTTTCGGTGAATTACCTTCAAAGTTTTACAAGCCTGATTTCTTTGTCTGCCCTGATCTTTTTTCTCCCTGTGTCTTGAAAATTTTAAGGAAAGGCTTCATGACACCAGTGTCCTTGATCGATTATGTTGTAGCAGCAATCGGAAACTCGTCCCATCTTTGTAGAGAGAGAGGGGTTTTAAAGGCGTATCATTTACCTCTACTTATATTTAGTTATGAGACTTCCCTGGTGGCTCAGTGGTAAAGAACCTGCCTGCCAGGGCTGGAGACGTGGGTTCAATCCCTGGGTCAGGAAGATCACATAGAGAAGGAAATGGCCACCCACTCCAGTATTCTTGCCTGAAGAATCCCATGGACAGCAGAGGCTGGTGGGCTACTGTCCATGGGGACGTGGAGTCAGACTTGACTGAGCAACTAAATAACAAATAACCTATTTAGGTGTGTAGTCTACTTGTCCCCACAAAATAAAACAGGTTAATTACTTCAGAAAACCACAGAACAATTTTTTTTAAAAGGCAATATCAGAAGTAAAGTCAAATTTCATCCAGTCAAAATATTTGAGTATATACAATGCCTTGAATTTTAAAACATTTGAAGAATGAGCCTTTCAAATGATGCAGTTTTCTCTCAAACTACAAACCTAGCCCAGCATAGATGCTGTATTTATGTGGGATCGTATTCATAAATATAAATGCTAAGTTTCAGAAAGCATGAAATCAAACCCCTTGCGTGAAAACACATATCCACACCCCCCCCCACCATGTTATTCAAAGACAGGGAGCTCATATTTTGAGTGTGAGAACAGAACTGCTTTGCATCCTAACTCACAGAACTATTCTGTACTAGGGATAGGAGCAAAAATAACCTTGATTTTTATAGACTTGTATTTTTTTCCAAGGCCTTGGCCCATAATCTTATTAAATGTAACAGTTCAAAATAAGCTGCCCTGGGAAACTTTGAAAACTGACTCTTAGAAAATGTTGAAAACCTTGACATATATGTTATTAATTTTTAACTATCAAAAATGATTATTATACCAAAGTCAGAAATAATGCAGAAGGGTATAATTTAAGAAGTGAATGCATGCATATTAAGTCGTGTCTGAGTCTTTGTGACCCCACGGACCCCTTTGTGAGCCCTGTCAGGCTCCTCTGTCCATGGGATTTCCCAGGCAAGAATATTGGAGTGGGTAGCCATTTCCTTCTCCAGAGGATCTTCCTGACTCAGGGACAGAACCCGCATCTCCTATATCTTCTGCATTGGCGGGTGAATTCTTTACCACTGAGCCGTCAGGGAAGCCCAAGAAGTGAACGTGTGTGCATGTATACACATATATAGATATTGGGAGTTTGGGGGTCTCAGCCGCTGGACCACCAGAGAAGCCCGAAAAAGGGAATATCTATCCTTTCTGCCCTCTGTTGGAGATCATCACAAGCCGTAGTTTTGTGTGTATATTTTCAGAGTTTTAGATAGATACATTTGTACACACACACACACACACACACACACACACACACATATATTCAAATATACATGTATACCCACATGTACATAGAGGTGCTTTTTTTTCTTTAGCAGAATTTGCTTGGTAAGAGACTAGATATTAACTGTTCCCACCATGAAAAAAGAAATGGTAACTATGTAACACGATGAAAGTGTTAGCTAGCACTATGGTGGCGACCATAACGCAGTACACACAAGCATCGAATCAACACGTGGTGTACCTTAACGTGCCCACTGTTCGGTGCCAATTACATTTCAATTTTTCTTAAGTGAAAAGCAAATGGGGTGTAATATACAAACTGTTCTGCCGCTTGTCATTGTCATGTAAGGATCTGTCAAATTGTCTCTCCCGGATGGCGGTTGGCAGGAAGGTGATTCATATGGGGCTGTGTGTTCTATACGGGGCCATGTGTTCTGTCCGGGACTGTGTGCTCCGTGTGGGGCCATGTGTTCCGCATGGGGCCTTGTGCTCCGTGTGGTGCCATGTGCTCCATGTGGGGCCTTGTGCTCCATGTGGGGCCGTGTGTTCCGTGTGGGGCCGTGAGCTCTGCGTGCAGCCGTGTGCTCTGCGTGGGGCCATGTGTTCTGTCTGGGGCCGTGTGCTCTGCGTTGGGCCGTGTGCTCTGTCCCGGGTTGAGTGCTCTATCCTGCACTCTGAGCTCCCAGGCCACAGTTCCGTCTTCCTGACCTTGCACCCACATCCGGGCACCTGAGTCCTGTCCTTCGTGATCCCACTCCTGACCAGGTGGCAGGGCCAGAGGCCACTGGAGCCGCTGGTGAGAGGGGCTGTGGCGGTGGCCACACGGGAACCTCAGCCTGCAAACAGCACGGGGAGGCCCGAGAACCCAGCCTCCGCGGGAGAGGACTCGGGCTCCGTCACTGCAGCGACCCCTCCCCTGGGTTCCCTCCGGGCCCCTAACTCTGGGAGAGCAGGCAGCCCTTCGGGGGAGTCCCCAGACCTCACCCCTGCCTGCCACACTCAGGCCTGTGATCCCTCCATTTTCCGATGAGAAGGCCGAACCCCGTGGTGAACGACTGCTGCTCAGTCCGAGAGCTTTGGAGCTGAACAACACTGGGCCCAGGCACCAACCCCAGCGTGTATGAGCCGCGTGAGTCCTTTCAAGCTCTTGGCCTTTCTCCGCCCTGGGCTGCAGCTCTGCATTATGTGCACATTAGTCATCCCTCCCTGTTAGAATCGAGAGGATTAAATGGCGTAGGCCCCGTGAGGTGTTCACTGAACAGACTTGCAGTTAGCGCTGAAACAGTGGCAGCACTGTCTTCCTGTGACGGATCCTTCCTAAGAACCTGTGCTTCTGGGACTGAGATGCAGAGAACTTGGCAGAACAATCGGGATGAAAGGGGCGTGATTTGGCGGGGTCAGACACAGTCCTGCCTCCTGCAGACACAGACCCCAGCCACGGCCTGCTTCAGGGTCTTCACTCTTGGCCAGCCCCGCCCTCCCAGCACAGCCTCAATGGTCACCCGACCTGCATCCTAGACCTCCTTGGAGTTTGGGTTCATCAGCAGTCCCCTAGCATCCTGTGCACCCCAAAGATCCCGGAGCTGCAGAGAGAGGGCCCCCTGCCAGAGAGGCCCCTGGGAGAAGCATTGACTCACAGTCCAGCTCAGGGGCGCCTGCAGTTCTCTGAAGTCCTAGAATCGTGGCCACCGTTGGCCCCACACAGGACGTGTAGGTGGATTCTGATGGAGCGTTTTTAATCTTGGTCCAGTAGAGCTGAAGGTCAAGAGACCAGGGTGTTCTGCCTTGGGCAGAAATCAGATCTGACCTCACATGTTGCTTTCTCATCTCTAACATGAGTTCGTTCCAGCCTCAGTGTTGTGGTGAGAATTAAACAGACCCGGGTTCACAGAGCCCTGGCACCGCGCGGGAGCCTGCTCTGGGGTGGCTGATCGGGAGGGTACCAGAGCACCGCCGTGTGGCCGGCACCCCCACCCCAGCCAGAGGCCCAGCGGCCTGGCAGCCCCAGAGCAGGCTCTGGTCTCGGTGTGCAGACATGCTGACCGGAAACAGATCACGAGATGGTCATACAGCCCCGTCAGGATGCATAAAGCCCCCGAACTATACTCCGGAAAATGGTCAATTATTTATATCTATTGTATTTACCACAAGTGAAAAATGCCACAGGGTGGCCTGACGTGACCCGTCACGTACAAGCTACAGGTCCCTGCCTGCTCCGCGCCTCTTTCTGTCCCAAGTGTTGCTGGAGAAATCCGCCCCTTTGCAGGAAACCGTGTGGCTACGAGGCGAGGCCCCAGGTGCTCAGAACTCCACAAAACGTGCATGAAAGAAACGCGATAAATCAGAACCACTTATAAAAGCTTCATAGTTTGCCTTCTTAGAATTTAAAGCCCTCGATGTTAACACCCTTGGAGCAGGACGCCCGGCAAGAAAAAGGGATCAGAGGCCCCTCAGCGCCTCCGCTGCTACGGACACCCTGATTCTGTGAAGCTGTGCTTGGGGGTGGGGGTGCTGCCCCCCAGGGGACCCGGCCACTCCTCACTGGGCAGCCCCCAGGTCAATCCTGGCTTCTGCACAGCAGAGAAGCCACAGGGCCTGGGGCCCCAGCTTGCAGAGGTGCGTGCTCAGTTGCTCAGCCGTGGCCAACTCTTTGTTACCCACTCCATGGACAGTAGCCCACCAGGCTACTTGTCTTTCAGGCAAGAATACCAGAGTGGGTGGCCATTTCCTCCTCCAAGAGACCTTCCCAACCCAGGGATTGAACCCACGTCCCCTGGATCTCCTGCATTGGCAGGTGGACCCTTTACCACTGAGCCACCTGGGAATCCCCCGGTTTGCAGAGGGTTCAGCCAAATACTTTCAGAGGAAAGAGGAAAATTAAAGATGTGGCAGGAGAAGAGGTTAAACAGGAAGCTTTTAACAGTAAGTCAAAGCGCAGATTAAAAGCACTCATTCAAAAAAATAAAATAAAATAAAAGCACTCATTCATTTTGTAGCTTTCTCAGAGGGACACGACTCCTGGTTAGACCTCTCCAGTTTCATCTCCCTGCCTTCAAAGGCTGGTCAGACGCTGGATAGGATAAAAGGAAAAGTGATTAGGGAGAAGGAAAGTAGTGGGTTTGAAGTGCTGAGAGTCTGGAGAAAAGAGGCTTGGGGATGATACTCTGCCTCCGGCTCGGGGAAGCAGTGTGATGACTGATATGAAGTGGAACGAAATGACGGAGCCTCGCCTGCTCCTTCCAGGCTCCGAAATGGAGTGCGGTGCCTAGAAGACGCGGTTGGAAGGAAGGTGAGGGTCGAGCCAGTCAGGTCCCCTCCAGCTAGGCAGACAGTTCTAGAACACCCACAGGGGTGCCCTGCTCAGAAGAGAAACAGGTGAGAGGGGATGGGGGTCCATCTCATCATCGCCTCTGGGAAACCAGGTCCAGAGGCCTGTAGTCTTCAGGAATGCGAGGGAGAGAGCACACTCCTGCTGAGAAGAGGGGCAAGAGCCTCCAGGGAAGGCCTCCAGAACCGCTGAAAACGGTCCTGCAGTTTCTTAAGACGTGTTTTCAATGTGACGCCTGGTTAGTGGACTCTGGACTCTGCCCCAAACCAGAGATTTCTTTCAAGCTTTGGCAGCAAAGGCGGAGCGAGAGGAGTGAATGAGTTAGAACAGTCCCAATGGGGTCAGGGGCACCGTTCTCACTTAGCAATCACACACCCAGTGGGTGCCTGCATGTCTTCTGTTCTCGCCCTGGGCATTCCTGCCAAGGGCGTTCTCCTAGGGCTGTGAGATGGAGCAGCAAGGAGCCGCAGGAGGGGGCAGTTCCCAGCGAAATGGGGGCAGAGCGGCACTTTCCCTGCTAAGGCAGGGAGCTGAGGGTCGGGGCAGACACACCCCTGGAGCACTGGTCGGAAGTCTGATAAACGGGCTGATGACGGCTGACTCTGACGTCAGGAACAGGAGTTGGGAGGACAGAAGTCCTTCCACGTCTTCTATGCAGAAGCGCTCGGGCAGCCATTCTTACGCAAAGGTGATCCTTTACGGACAAACCGACTCAATGCCCTGCAGCTCAGAGGAGCCTGCTTGAGCAAACACCAGCTGGAGGCCTCACACCCCAGCCAAGGCCCTGGGAGCCAGGCGGTAAGAGGCCTTCCCTAGTGCAGACGCAGACGCTGTCCTCCAGCTCTTGAAGTGGTCTCAGCCCCAGAGACTCTGGCTCCACACCTGGGACCTTCCCACTTCAAAGGTGCTTCCAGATGCTTCTGGGATGCCCCACGGAGGACCCCTGCTCCACCGTTTTCTGTCAACCAGTCTTATTCAGAGGGAGCTGCCATGATGGCAACGCTTCCGACGTCTCTGCCAGCTCCGTTTGTGACTGAGACCCCCGCTTTGTGCCTGACTGGGTCCAAGTAGCATTCTTCCCTCCAGGATTGTCAGGGTCAGTTCTCCACATCAGCTACAGCTTTTTGTTGTTGCTTAGTCGCTTAGTCGCTTAGTTGTCTCCAACTCTCTGGGATCCCATGGACGGTAGCCCACCAGGCTCCTCTGTCCATGGGGATTCTCCAGGCAAGAATACTGGAGTGGGTTGCCGCACCCTCCTCCAGGGGATCTCCCCGACCCACAGACTGAACCTGTGTCTCCTGCCTTGCAGGTGGATTCTTTACCTCTGAGCCACCTGGGAAGCCCTGTTCGCTACAGTACAAGCACCTTTTGTAGAAGTTTTAACAAAGATTGAATCATACTTGGAACCACTGCACTTTTCAGCATATCTTCTTTTTTTTTTTTTTGAATTTGTATATTTTTTTCCATTTATTTTTATTAGTTGGAGGCTAATTACTTTACATCATTGCAGTGGTTTTTGTCATACATTGAAATGAATTAGCCATGGATTTACATGTATTCCCCATCCCAATCCCCCCTCCCACCTCCCTCTCCACCCGATCCCTCTGGGTCTTCCCAGTGCACCAGGCACGAGCACTTGTCTCATGCACCCAACCTGGGCTGGTGATCTGTTTCACCCTAGATAATATACATATTTCGATGCTGTTCTCTTGAAACATCCCACCCTCGCCTTCTCCCAGAGTCCACCAGTCTGTTCTATACATCTGAGTCTCTTTTTCTGTTTTGCATATAGGGTTATTTTTACCATCTTTCTAAATTCCATATATATGTGTTAGTATACTGTAATGGTCTTTATCTTTCTGGCTTACTTCGCTCTGTATAATGGGCTCCAGTTTCATCCATCTCATTAGAACTGATTCAAATGAATTCTTTTTAATGGCTGAGTAATATTCCATGGTGTATATGTACCACAGCTTCCTCATCCATTCCTCTGCTGATGGGCATCTAGGTTGCTTCCATGTACTGGCTATTATAAACAGTGCTGCGATGAACATTGGGGTGCACGTGTCTCTTTCAGATCTGGTTTCCTCGGTGTGTATGCCCAGGAGTGGGATTGCTGGGTCATATGGCAGTTCTATTTCCAGCTTTTTAAGAAATCTCCACACTGTTATCCATAGTGGCTGTACTAATTTGCATTCCCACCAACAGTGTAAGAGGGTTCCCTTTTCTCCCCACCCTCTCCAGCATTTATTGCTTGTAGACTTTTGGATAGCAGCCATCCTGACTGGCATGTAATGGTACCTCATTGTGGTTTT